GATAGAACAGTAAGAAGTAAGCAGTAAGAAGTGCCAGTTAGCTAAGGGAATATATGGGGACATTATTTAAAAAATCAATATATAAAGACCTAATGTGTGTACAGAGTATATATCATGTTATGTTATTACAGAAAGTCCTGTGAGTGTCAGAATCACATGGAGATACCACTTTGTTATGGTGCTCCTCAGCGGCCTACCTCCCCCACAGCTTCTTTTCTGAGATGCTAACCAGCTCCTTTGAGCTAGGCATTATACCTGGTATTCTTTATGAACCAAGTGTAAGGAGTAAGTCTTAACTATCTGGAAGATGACTTTATATAGAATGCATTATATAACATAATGCATTTGTCACAATTACGAAAAGAAAGGGTTATTACCTTATATCCTTATGAGAATAGGATATTTGGTGGGCTCCAGACTTAATCTCCATTATCTGCCTTTGAATACACATTATGATGACTGTCCTTATAAATGGCATTTGTCAGTAAAACTATTTGTGTTCAGTAAGTTAAAAAAAAAGTCTATATACGTGTGTGTATACATTAGCATATCAGTTTTTGTTTTTGTTTTTGTTTTTGAGAGAGAGAGAGAGAAAACGTGCTTCTGTGAGCAGTGGGGTTGGGGCAGAGGGAGAAAGAGAACTCCAGGCAGGCTCCACACCCAGCACAGAGCCTGATGTAGGGCTCAACTCAGGGCTGGATCTCATGGCCCTAAGATCATGACCCAGGCTGAAATCAAGAGTCTGATGCTTAACTGACTAAACCATCCAGGGGCCCCTTAGTGATATTTTACAAAGTTTCCAAGTTCTCTCCCTCTGTCTTTCCTCCCCACCTTATGTTGTAACATTGTCTTAGTTAACCAGGAAATCTATTATTACGGCATACTGTGATAATAAAAAAGAGTTTTGTATAACATGTTGTAATAAAAATACATTGAATATGTTCATTGGAGCGCTGTCTTCAAGTTACACCACTTTTTAGAACAAACTGTCTGGACATGGTCTTAGCCATGATCAGGACTGGCCCCTTCAGATTGTCCAAAGGAGACCAAGGTTAGGATTTTTTGAGTGAAGCAGGACTGAAGCGAATCTGACCTACCCGGCCGTACCATCATCTCTGTTACATCAAGAAGAGACAGCTTCATTTTGGGGGCTGATCAAGACCTTGCCCAGTAAATGGAACTCATTAGAACTTTCGTTAACCACAGTCAAGAAGTAGAAGGAAGGCACCATGATGTGTGCTAGAGATCACAGCAGTAGACTGGGTGGCTGTTGGAGGCTGCGGAGAGTAGGCTCAGCTCAGCAGAGACTGAATAGGAATTTGATGGCATGTGTTGTGACATGCAGGCATTGGAGATAATTATTAGTAAGATAAAACTGGAAAGTGGCTGTTTCAATCTTTTGCTGTCAATAGAAAATGTACGTTGTGTTGCAGTTGATATCAAGGGATTATTCTCCCTTAGAGTTATGTTTTTCTTGGGATTATGGATCTTTTTGTAAAGATTTATTAACAACCCCCCCCCCCAGCTCAGTGGTACAGACTGATGGTTTTCCAACCTCTTCTCTTCGTTCTTCCAAAGAGCAGAAGTGTCCTGGTGGTGGAAGTCTGTTTCCCTTCCTCCCTGTCCCCCATCCAGGCTGCTCAACAGGGACCAAGGAAGGAGATACGAAGGAGGGAGGGAGATAACATGGCCCCTGGCCTCCTCAGCCTGTGGGTACCGGTGACACTGAACAAAACCAAAACCTGGATTTTGCTGACCTATTTTTTTTTTTCTTGCCCACCTGCCTCATTAAATGTCCTTTGCCCACCCAGGTCTGTGTGTTCCAGGGGAGGAGGGTTTGTCCCATATGTGCTCATATATCAGCCTGGGTGGCTGCTGCCGGTCTTCCTCCTGACAGAGCACCTTCCTTGTTCTTCCTGGCCACTGAAGTACTTAATCCGTCATCCACTCATGTGACAGCAGCCCAACTGCAAGAATGTTGACGGGAACATACCCCATTGGTGGGGAAGGGGTCCTGCCACAGGGCTGCTTAGGCCTTTTGTGAATACAGACTTTGGTAGGATCGCAGGTCACAGCCATGAGGCTAGATGTACAACCCCCTTCCCTTCTGCCCTAAGTTTTTACTCTTTTGTTGCCATTTAGCCTCTAAGTCTCCTGTCCGCTGGTCTTCCCTGCTTTTGCTAGACATACGTGTGTGTGCAGACAGAGGTCTAATCTGCCTCAGACTTCTTGGTACTGGATGGATCAGTGGGTACAAGCATGTGGGGAAGATGGCCATCACTGTCTTCCTGGCCAGATGGATCTCAAACTCAGATCCGCCTGAAAAGGACACTTGGCCGTAGATACTGTAATGGTCACTGAGACATGGAAATTGTTGATAGCTTTCTCCTCCTGGTAGAAGTTTATATTAATTTTTTTAAAGATACTTATTGATTTATTTGTGGGGAGAATGAGGGAGGGACAGAGGGAGAGGGGCAGAGAGAGAGCAGACTCCTTGCCAAGTGGGGAGCCCAACTCGGGGCTTGATTGCACACCCCTGAGATCATGACCTGAGCCAAAACCAAGAGCTATACACATAACTGCTTGAGCCACCCAGGCACCCGCATGAAATTTGTTTCTAATGATGAAGTTGCACTAAGCCAGTGTAGGGAGGAGGGGAGTTGATTGAATTCATTCAAATCACATTTCACTGATTTTCATGCTAATTGTTAGATTGGCTAAATTTATCTCCTCCTCTGTATGGTGACATAATGAAATGCTTTTGTATTTATTTCTCCACATTTATTGAGGTACAATTATATGGAAAGAGATTAATTATAGGATAAATAAGGTCATATTCCCTTCACCCTTTTTAAATGTTATGTTAAACCATAATAACTGTTTCTAAAATGAGACCCTAAGCACCAGGGAAGATGGGGACCTGGACTGCTTCTTTCAAATCACCCTCCCCAGCACCTGGCATGGTGCCTGACACCAAGGCCCCTGGTGCTGCCTTACTGAATGAGTGAAAAATTTATTGCAGGGGATGATACATTGGAACTGTCTGCTGGAGGATATATTATGTAAGAAGCTCATGTTAAGCTTTAAAATTACGAGCAGATTAAGAAATCTTTGTAAGAATTATCTGTCATATAAACAATAACTCACATTATCAGCTACAACTGAATTCTTTTTTGAATCTCTTAAGTCCATTTTTTTTTAAAGGATGTAGACAGTAAATACGTGAAGTATTTTTTATAAAGTGAATCAGGAGGAGGAGGCAGTGAAGTTCTGTGGTTTGCTTTTGTTCCTGCCTGGCACAGGCATGGGAGGGCTGGGCTAGCTGGTCCAGCACAGAGTCTGCAGGGCTGGCTGGGGCCCCCACCAAAGACCCTCAAGGTGGGAGATGTAGAGAAGCAGAAACGTCTGGCAACACTGGTAGCCTAGGCTCAGCCCCGGGCTGTGGGAGGGAAGAAGACTGCAGGCCTCATGGGGTTATTAGTATAGGAACCAGCTGTGTCCATTTGGCATTTATTTATTACCTATTATAGGCTGGTGCCCAGAACTCCATGGCGGTAGGGGGATGGGCCTATGTGGCATTTCTCAGGTCAGCTCTCTGGGCTTCAGTGTGGTTCTTCTCAGGCTCTCATGCAGCCCCAGCATTTCCCAGTTCACATGTTACAGGTATGGCCGAGGAGGAGACATTCCGGACCACTTGCCTTGCCCTAGTTCCGCATTGCTGAGAAACATGAAACAACTGGTCCATCAGCTATGGCCAGGCCTGGGGAGGAAATCAGGCATACTCAGGGTTCCACCCAGGGCTCCCCGGGGGCCCACTCCGTGATGCCGGGAGGATGGTCCTAGGGAAGACATTTAATTGGAAATTCGGTTTACTATGCACATAAAAATGTCTTTGATGTTTAAAATAATTAATATTTTTGTGAGTTGCTTTCAAGTTTTTATTTGACCCAAGGTGGGTGTGGTGTGGTACTGGAGCCACAGACACATTAGGCAAGGTATGTATGTTCAGGAGACAACAGAGCAGTGTCGAGAAGAACTGGGCTTCCATCAGTTACTTGCATTTGATCTTTCCAGAGCCTTAGTTAACAGCTCTCCAAAGTGAGGATAATGATTCGTGCTTGCCCATGTTTTAAGATTCTGTGCAGATTTGGTGACATTTTGCCCCAAACCCTTATTTTCTCCCGCTCTGTGTACTCCCCCCCCCCCCTCCCCCCCTGTCTTAGTTTCCCAGCTTCTTTCCTTACCTAAACACTGGTGATACCAAGTAAGTACATCTAGCCTAGATCCCCAGGCAAGGCCTCTGCCCCTGACATCCAGAAGCCTCATCTCCTGCCCTGCCTCTTGGGTGTTTCTGGAACATGCTCCCTTTTCCTCTTGTTCGTGTCGTTACTGTCTTGGGTCCAGGCGGCACCTTCTGTTGTCAGACTCTTTAGTGGCCACTTTGCCCTTTCTCCCTTCTCGCAGCCACCCTGCCTGGCATATCCTGGTGATGTTTGTGAATTACCTGTGTGGGTGTGTCTCTGTGCACACGCATGCACGTGTGTGTACGTTCATACTGTATGATTAAAAGGCCTTAGCATATTATTTAAAACAGAAATCATGAAAGAGGGAAAATGAAAGAAAAGCTTTACATTCTTGTCCAGTCTTTTTCTTCCAAGTGTGTTGTCTTGATAGTTGGTGTATGTATTTACTATCCTTTTTTATATGTTACTAGTTTCACATGTGAAACAGTACTGCAGGGACTTTAATGAAAAGTAGCAGATCCCTGGCCCCCACTTCTCCTCATCTCAAAATCCTGTATCTCAGAAGATTCTTCTTTTTAGCTGTTTATATTGTAATTTCTTGATTTGCCAAATTTCGACATTATCTATGTACTTCTGTAGATGGGAACTGGCACTCTTATACCTCTTGCTTCCCACTGACCCACATAGAAACTTGCCCTGTGTCCTCTGTAGTTGTATCACGCTGTTTAGCTAAATCTGGCTTCGGTGTTTATATTTTTGTAACTGTACAAGTATTTTCACTGCTGTACCACACTATACCATGGATATTTTCCTAGTGTTAAAATATGTTGTGTTTCCTGGAATTTAGAGTTGCTTCTGTTTGTTAGTTACAGTTTTCTTTATTTCTGTCACTTTTCCCCCCGAAATTATCCAAAGGCACTATAAAGTCCTTCCAAAGAATATTTTCCCACAGCCAACCCTCTTGGGTATATTATTGGTACATTTCTTTGTTTCTTCCCAGAGATGTTATCCTACTTTCCAGGCTGCATTTGAGACTCAGTATACAAGCATCATCTTCGATTTCTCCTCATCTCTCTCCTGTGTTAGATCCTCTTTCTCTTCCCTTACTCTTTCCACTTCTTACTTGTTTGGTGGGACAAACTTCTAGTAACTTCCTGAATAAGGGATGTGGATGTAGGGAGTAAGGACTTGTGGTTTTGTGGTCACTGCTTCTCTGCCAGCATTTCCCTGGAGCTGAGCATCAAAAGGGTCTCACTGCCGCTTAAGTCCTCTCCCCTGCTCCTTGCTGGGCCCACGGGTTGGTCCTGTTCATCTTCACCTACATGTAGAACCTCGTCTTCTCCTCCACACCCTCCTGCATGTTTCAGCATCATTGTGTCCTTTCACACTTCTGCATTTGTTCATGCTGTCCCCTTAGGCTGAAGGCTTTTCTCTGGCTATCTACCTGGAGAAGTCTAGTCAGTATGCTAGATGTTTATTCAGGTGATAAAATTATAATTGCGAAAGAATATTATTTCTACTTTTGTTTAGCAAAGCACAAAGTGGCAGTTTTCAAGCAGGCATATTGCAACTGTTCGTCAACTGCCTTAATCCTTTTTGCAATGAGCCAGGGTATAATTCATCAGCAAATACAGTTAATACTGTTTAAGCATAACAGGTGACTTTGGAAATGGTAAGCAAACTAACAAACACTGGCTGTTCAAAATATGTCTTCAAGATTGCCATTCAGGTATTGTTTCCATCGAATAATTTTTGATCTTCCGAGATAGTTTTAATAGGCCTCTGTATTAGTTTCCTAGGCCACCTTAACACATTACTTTCAACTTGGTGACTTAAAACAATAGTAGTTTATCCTCTCACAGTTTGGAAAGCCAGGTGTATATGAAACCAAGTCTGAAGTTGGCAGGGCCTTGCTTCCTCTGGAGGCTCTAGGGGAGAAGCCATTCTCTGCCTCTCCCAGCTTCCGATGGGTGCCAGCTTCCTGATTTTCTGACTGCATCCCTTGTTTTGTCTTTACATCACCTTCTCATCTGTGTGTTTGTCTTCTCTGTGTGTCTTTTGTGAGGACACTTATGATTGGATTAGGACCCATCTGGGTAATCCAGGATGATCTCTTCATCTCAAGATCCTTAATAATACCTGCAAAGATCTTTTTTTTTTTTCTAAATAGGGTAGCATTCACAGGTTCTAGCAATTACGACATGCACAGTGGGGAGGCCACCATGCAACCCAGTATGGCCTCTGAAGCGCAGTGCCCTTTGAAGGCACCAGTGTCGTTTCTGCTGATAAAATTGTTCTCTGATCATAATCATACATCAACCAGTATTTTCCTGGTTCATTCATTACTTAACAGGTATATATCATTACCCAGACCCTGTGCTAAGTGCTGGCGTTAGAAAAGCCAACACAGACAAAATCTCAACCCTCCAGAACCCACAGTATTACCAGAAAAGCTAGCTTTCTTGTGAGGATTCTAATCTATCATTTGAATACATTTTTTAATAACTGTAGACATAGATTTGGAAATAAAAAGGGAAATGCTGGCAAGTATAGTAGACACAAATGGGAAAGGGCAGAGAGGTCTAGTCAAAGGACTACTGTCATGTTTTATCAGCCAGAGGTTGGTAGTATGCACAGTGGTTTGATGATACATAAACTCTCTTGTAAAGCCAGGTGTTGAATTTCTCTTTGTTATCATGTCATTTTGTTTAATATGAGCCCTGTTAACTTCTTGCCCTAAAAATTTATTCTGTCCCCAAGGAAGATATTTTTAACAAAGCAAATGGAACATATCCTTCAGCCTTTGGAAATGCTTTTTTGCTTTCCATTGTTTTAGGGTACTTGCTTGCACTCAAAACGATTTCTTCAGGGTATTCTCATAAGGCTTTCTTGGACTCAGTTAATAAGGAAGAATAATTTATAAATCCAAAATTACCGCTTCTATTAACGTTTCTAGTCCAAGATTTCCTAATAGTGCGTTGTGTTTTAGATAAGTTGTTATCAGGAATAAAGGACCTGAGTTTGTCAGTGATTTCTTTACTGGGGGGAGAAAAAAGAGATTGACACACATTTAAGGTTATCCATTAATGTAATAATGCCTTTTCTTTCGCATTTCATTCTGCGTTTTCATTTGGGAAAGAAAAGGTGGAGGGACAGCTGGTACCTCTGTACCACCATAGACATGGCTGGCACATCACAGCTAGCCTACCTTATCTGTGCACTCCTGGGAGTGGCTCACAAACGTCATCCTCTTGCTTGCATGTTCCAGTTAAAAAAAAAAAAAAAGAAAGAAAGAAAAAATTGACAGACCTGGTGGTTCTACCTTCCCCAGATAATTGATCATTATGGGTATTGTGCAACCATTTACCAGTTAAGAGTAGAATTAGTATTATTTTTAACTTTTGAAGCTAATTAAAAAATAGTTTGAAGTTCATAGGAAATAAACCAAAATGTGTTTTTAAGAAATTCTCCAACATTTTACTGTTCTCACAATTTTTCTGAAGTTTGAAATTGTATCAGAATGAAAGATGGGGCACCTGGGTGGGTGGCTTAGTCAGTTAAACGTCGGAATCTTGGTTTCAGCTAGGTCATGATCTCAGGGTCATGAGATCAAGCCGCTCTCTCTCTCAAATAAATAAATAAAAATCTTAAAAAAAAATCAGAGCAATTTTTAAAAGCTTTGTGCTTATTACAAGAACTGGATCCTTTGTGGGAACATGACATTGGTTTGACAAACATCATTTTCGAAATATAGTTAGTTTTCATGGTGCAATTGAATTATTGAAGTGGGATTTGTACCTTCCATAATCAGTCATCCTCTTGCTCCTTTTTTTTCCCTCTCCATCTGATACTCATGAGTAATAGCAAATGCACCAGCTAACATTTATGAAGTAAAAAATAATTTTACTTATGTTACCTGGAAGAGTTAAAGGGCTTGGGGCCTTAAGTTTCATTGGCCTCATTGGCCTTGCTGTACTTAGAGATTTTTCTTTTTCTTTTTTCTTTTCTTTAAACTCCTGGGAATGTGTGTTACTGTAATAGACTAGATCTTTAGAGTGAGCTCTGAGTCTTTCTCCTTATGTATCAGGATGAGAGAGGAGGGCCTAGACTTGTCAGCCCCCATCCAAAGACCCAGAAGACAAACCCCTTGAGTCCACTTGAAGACCCATACCCAGCCAGAGTCACTGAATATGTTTGGTCATGTTCGATATTTTTGTAGTTTGGGATTTTCCTTCTGAGCATGAATGCAAACATCTTAGATACCCTCAAACTATGTGACCAAATGCAGCCCAGCTCAAAGTTAAGAGGCTGTCAGAGACCCCTGGAGGTTTCTCTTCATGTGTGTGACTTACAAATGTGGCAGTATTAAAAATTTCATTTTGATCTGTGTAAGGAAAATACATGATTCATCAGTGATTTATTCAGATGGATTTGAGGCTTTTGCTTTGTAATTATAAGTTTAGGATGGTGTCTAACAAAAAGATTCATATATTGTCCACCGCTTTCCTTTTATTACAAGTCCAGTTTCAGGTGGAATATGTGGATATAATTTTCCTCTCATGGTGATGAGTTATTTAATTTTTATAATCCAATCATATATTTTGTTCTTTAGCCTTATGGTAGAAGAAGATAAAATAAATGGCTCACTGTTGGAAACTCATTCTCATCACTTTCTTTCTTTCTTTTTTTTTTATCAAATACTAGTTTTGTTAGAATTTTATATCACTAAGAAAGAAGGAACAGCAAATCATTGAAAATTCAAGGACCCTCTTTAAGAATTCAAGGACCCTATTCCATAACTGCTATTATGTGAAATGTTCTTTTCAATTCTAGTCCACCTGGATAGAAACCAGCTTAGGCTAAAATTAGCATTATCCTTGTTGCTGGGAGAATTTCATGAGTGCAGGAAGCCTTTTCAGTCTCTGCCCTCAGAAGAGACTCATGGCAGTTGTTTCTATTTCTCTGTTGATGGAGAAGTCCAAGACCACCTGCAGCCCCCAGAGTTGCCACCTGTGGGACAGGAGTTGGGAGTCAGCCAGAGGAGTTCGCACTGTGAAGATTCTGGTTTTCTCTGCTGTAGCTTTGGCTGCCTAGCCAGTACTCAGCCCTGGAATGTGGTGCTTACCGGAAGTTCTAGGAATCCATATTGGGACGCCGTTACAAATAGGCTGACGCTTCATTTAATATTTAAAGGAATCCACTTTGTAGTAAAAACAAAACCAAACAAAAAAACTGCCCAAAAGCTTTGCAGGGGGATAAACAAAGACTCCTTTTTTGGAAACAAAAATAGCATACAAAGGCTTTCATATGTTACCTGCCCCAGAGTTTAGCAAAGCAGTGTCTGAGACACAGATTTGGAGTTTTGAAGCAAAGTACTGCACTGGTTGAAACTGTCATTTATCGGTTAGTCTTCATGCTTCTGGTATGAGTTTGTGTGTTCAGATGATTCAGTGAATTTTCGAGCTTTTTCCTTTGTGAGGTCTGTTTGCACATTTGGAAAGATCTGTAAACATGGTACCATTTGTGTTTTGTGGCTTTGCGCTTTTGATTTCCTTCTGAAGCTGCCACCATGACGTTAACCTTTGATGAAGTTAAGAGTGTAGAAGAAAATGATTACCAGTGGTTAATAACGTCCCGAAGTTTTAGGAGTTTGGGAAGAGTGCCCATTTCCATGAAGGAGTCTGAGAGCTCACATGGGGAGAAGCTCCCTGACCACATGTAAATTGAGAAATAGATTTCAAAATCAGTTTTGATTAAAATGGGAATTTGAGCCTGTCGCTGAGAAGCAGCCATCTTTCTATAAATTATTTATGGCATGAGCATAAGGGTTTGGTGTAGAGGCTGTAGGCCTTTTTCCATTTTGCTTCAAAAACTGTTTTGATTATAAAGAGAAAGTAATGAATTTTGGTATTGAAACAAATTTTTAAAAGGGAGGTTTTAGTTTTTTAGTTCCTAAAGTGATTCTAAACTGGAAAAATAAGAAGTGATTAGTAAATACTTTCACCAGTAATAACAACCAGTGTTGCAGCTGGATTGGATGTAAAAATAGAGATTATAGAACCCTGATGAACATAGTTTATCATATTAGACACATATTGAGACATTTCTAATAGTGAGTAGTACATCAGTGGCTTAAGGAGCATGTATTTGTAGCGTGTTCTGCTTATTAATACATATTTAGATGTTGTTCCTGGCTAAGTAGGTTATAGCGTATCTTTCTGTTTAGACCATAATGGAAAGCCCACTGAGCAATGTGATAGGAAGAAGGGTCCTAGGAGACAGTTTCTGGGCTTGGACCTCTCCCTACACCTTGGCTGCTGTCTTGATGTGGGATCAGACCCTCACTCTCGACCTGCTGCCTGCTCTACCTTTTCAGTGAAGTTCAGGTTCATTTAGGAAGTTGGAAGTTTAGACTGACAGTTACAGAAAATGTTAGTGCTTAAAAAAGTGAATGCTTGAAAAGATGGTGTGTTCTCTGCTCTCATTGTACAGGGCTTGATGTATATGTTACAGGTCACCATTGTATATTCTTTGTCCTCTCTGGTCTTATTTTTGCCTCTCTCATCTGGCATGGGCTGGAAGAAGGGGATTCAGTCTTCTATGACTTCAGTGTTTCTCTAGTTGTTTTCACACATTTTATTTATTCAATATATATTTAGCGTTTGCTTCCCATGTACCAGAATGGTTCTCAGCTGAACGAGACTGACACGTTCATGGTGTTATGGAGGTGACATTTGAGGGGAAGACAGACATTGCACAAGGAAAAACACAAGATAATTTCAGATACCAGTATGTGTGATGAAGAAAATAAAATCTGGTAGTTTGATGGTGAGTGACTAGAGGTGGCTCCAGTTTAAACAGGATGGCCATGGGTGCCTGGGTGTCTCAGTTGATTGAACGTTTGACTCCTGATCTCAGCTCAAGTCTTGATCTCAGAGTTATGAGTTCAAGCCCTAAGTTGGGCTCTACTTGGGGTATAGAGCCTAGTTTAAAAAAAAAAAAAAAAAAAAAGAAATAAGATGGCCAGAGAGCCTTTCCCGAGAGGAGCATTCCAGGTAAACAGTCAAGTAAAAAGAGCTACGTGCCTCCCCAAGGGTCTGGGAGTAGTGATTTCTAGGGAGGAAACCTCAAGAAGAGGCTTTAGGATGGAAACACGTGGCATTTGAGAGGAACAGATTTTGCAGCTTTTCCATCTGTATTAGCATGCTGTCTCTCCCTAGGATTCTCAGGAGAGTTTTGATTTCTTTACCGCTTTTATCCTCTGTCATTGTAAATGCCCTCCTTTGGTCCCATTTAATTCTTATTGCTGCCAATGAACAGTTTCTGACATTGCCTCCCGGAAGTTGTTTGTACTTGCTGCCTTTATGTAAACTCCTGGTCTCCTTGGAGTCATCCAGATGTTTCTCTGGTTGACTGCAGTGGTCTCCAGAGTTATGTGGGCAAGTGCCACGTTGAGGGAGCACTTAAGTAATCCACTGTGCTGTGGAAGAAATATGAGAACTTTAATCTGCCTTTTGATTGACATCAGCTCCCTCGCGATGAGGGTGCATGTGAGGGTCCTCTGGAGGTGACAGGAGGGAGGGAAGGGCTCCCCTCCTGAAGGTGTGACTCTGGTATCTTCAGCTTGCCAGATTACTCTCATGGCTGGGATATGGTGTGGTTATTTCAGAAACTATAACTGGTCTCCAAGCCCCACCTCATGCCACCCCCACCGCTGTGGCATTTTGTGAAAATAACCAACCTTTTGAATACAGGTTCACATCCTTTCAGTATCCCCCCCACTGCCGCCAAGGTGAGTGGCTATACCCAAGCTGAAATTGGTATTCAGAGATAATCTATAATGGGTAGAAACTGACCCCCCCCAAAAATATGGACTTTTATAAGCCACAGGCAATATTTTTTTTTGTCAAGAGGGAGAAACTTCAGTATTGCAAAAACCTCATGAAAGTTGATATTTCAGAATACCTGCTTTTGATGCAGTAAATTTTGGCTTGGT